CAAAAGTGCTTCCAGTGTTTACAGAAGATCATGTTTTCTTGGGTAACCTAGATGATCCAAGTTATAATAACAAACCAAGTAATGATGATGATGATGATAATGAATCGCAACTGAATAATATTACAAACTTGGACTCAGGTAACTCAGGTGTTGTTAATTGTAAGTAAAAAATAAATACTATTTAGTTAAAAAAATTTAACGATCTCATATTGATATTATAAGCATTGAAAGGTCCTAAACATTAGTTGTTTGGGTCTTTTTGTTTTATATCATTTTTTTACGTTTAAAGTAAGTTGTACGTCGATGAATATTTGTAAAGGGACACAATTATTAATTTCCAGGGGCGAAAGAAAACCCTTGCACAGATCTCAGAAATGAAGATTACCAGTTATTAGAAGATATTCTTATATCAAATAATGGAGACATTACAAATATCATTGGTGGAACTGGTAATGATTGTTATGAAAAAAAAAATAGTCAATAACTTCTTGTTCTAAATTTAGATTTGGAAGGAAGTTACTCGAAATTCGTTGAAAAAGAAGTTGATGGAGAGACGAGCGAATATCTGGCATTCAGCAAAAATAATATCAATATTGAAGATAGCTCAGATAGTCAAATCAAAATTAATGAGATTGAAATTATGGAGGACGATAGAATTAATAATAATGATGAGAACGAAAACGATCAAATAGAAGATAACGCAACTGAAGAAATGGAAGAGGAAGAGACTGAGGCTATTAATGAAAATGAAATTGAAGCACCTGAGGAAATAATAGGTAGGTAATTATCAATAACTCTATGCTATCTACACATTTGACAAACATTGTTTCCATTGTAAATTATATTTTTAGATCCAGATGAAACTGTTGAAACCCACACCAAAAAAGGTGAAAACAGAAGAAGAAAAAAATATAAACATTCCAAAAGTGTAAGAACTGAAATTAAGAGAAATAACATAATTTCGCTACCTACAATTAGACCAGGTTGCATAAATTGTAAATTTAAGTGTCACAGTTTTTTCTCAGAAGAGGACAGAACAAGAACAAATCAAGAATATTGGAAATTAGACTGGAAACAAAAAAGAACGTTTGTTATGAATTCCACTGAAAATAAAATACCAAGGCGCAAAGTAGAAGGCTCAAAGAAAAACAAAACTTTTACATATTTTTTGAAAGACGGTAGTGGTGCGAAAAGGCGTGTTTGTAAGATTTTTTTCCTTACAACTTTAGGTTACAAGAAGACGAATGACTGGATAGTCCAGTCAGTGTGGGCGAGCGCTAAGAGCAAAAATCAAATACAGGATAATGAATCAGATCGACGAGGTAGACACCCCCCTAACAAAATGTCAAATACTCAAATAGAGAATCACATAGATTCATTTAATCCATCTGTGTCTCACTACAGAAGAGTCCACGATCCTAATCGCTTATATCTACCAAGCGATTAAATGTTACCCTTATGTTTGCGGACTTCAGAAAAAAATATCCTGAGTTCATTTGCTCATACGAAAAGTACAGAAAAGTCCTCAAATCGAAAAATATATCGTTTGCCAAATTAGGAAACGAAGAATGTGAACTCTGTGAGTCTTATCATATGCATAATCCAGAGCACACAGCTGAGTCCTTAAACGAAGATTGCGAAAAATGCTGTAGTTGGAAAGATCATATTGAGAAGGCGAGAGAATCTCGTAAAAGATATGCATTGAACAAAGAAAACTGCAATGAAGATAAAGATAATTTATGCGTGTCTGTTGACCTTCAGAAAGTAATAATGCTACCCAGGATGGAAATGTTTAAAAAAGCTATATTTTCTCATCGCCTGATAGTCTACAATGAAAGTTTTGTTCCTGTCGGGAAAATTAGACACTTTCTTCCATTTGCCGTTTTGTGGCATGAGGCTGTTAGTGGGCGACATCAGGAAGACATAATCAGTGCTTTTAATGCATTTTTTCTCCACCATAGGGACGTCAAAAATATTACTCTCTGGCTTGATACCTGCTCTAGCCAGAACAAAAATTGGGCCTTTTTGTGTTTCTTGGTTTATATTGTAAATTCGCCAAGTGTAGCCGCAGAAACCATACATGTGAACTATTTTGAACCAGGACACACCTTCATGTCTGCGGATTCATTCCATCATCAGGTAGAAGAGTCACTGAAGCGTCAAAAGAAGACATAAGATTTCGCAGACTTTGAAAATGCAGTACAATCAAGTAATAAAGGAAAAGTTCAGATTAAGTCTATGCAAGTGGATGATTTCCAATTATGGAAAAATCTCAGTTCAGCTAGTAAAATTAAAAACCAAAATCCTAAGTTCTATCTTGCCAAAATGACTGAATTAATGGTGAAGAGAAAGGAATTTGAAATTTACTACAAATGCAAATCCGATGAAGAATGGAAGAAACTCGATTTTTTACTTAAAAAACATATTGGTGAAATTCCAACACCTTCCATAAAAACGGCACCCAATGGATTTGAACGAGAAAAAGTCGAAAATTTATTCAAGGCTTTGGATTCCATCATGCCAGATAATCGAAAAAAATTTTGGGAGGACCTTCCAGAGAAGCTTATTGACTAGTAAAAGACGTGTAAACTTAGTTATTTAAGTAACTCAAATATATTATAATTTCACGTGTTGCTCGTTTTTTTCAATTAAAGTTGCAGAAACAATATTTGTTTGCAGAAGTTGGCTGCAAGAAGGATGCAGCTCCGATTTGGGTAATTATTGGGAAATTGGAAAAAATTGGTAATAAAAAAAAGTTTTTATTTTAAACTGAAAAACAAAATGCCAATCGATAATTAGGAGGTTTTTGGCATATAACGTATATTTCAAACCAAAATGACCCAAAAATGGAGCTGCATCCTTCTTGCAGCAAACTCCTCCATTGTATTGAATTTATAAAGGGCGGTATATTTCCTACGTTAAATACCGGTATCTGCCAAATACGATGATTAACCTAAGTAAATTTGACAATGGTGTAGATTGAATACCCGTATTTGCTAAATACGAGGTTTTTGCATAGGAAATTAGCCAAATACAAGTAGAATAATTACTCGTATGGGGATTTATAGCATAAAAACAATAAAATAGAACTTTTTTAGGTAATAATACTGAGATTTTAAATCTATGCAAGGAATACTCGGATATTTTCCACCAAGAAGACAGTCCACTTACTTTTACCAGCAAAATAAAACACTATATACATACAACTGATGAAATGCCTATTTATAATAAAACGTATGAGTATCCGTTTATACATCGGCAAGAAGTAGAGTCCCAAATAAAAAAAATGCTAGATCAACAGATTATTAGGCCATCAAATTCACCATGGTCCTCACCGATTTGGGTAGTTCCGAAAAAAAATTGGATGGTTCAGGAAAACAAAAGTGGTGACTTGTCGTGGACTATCGGAAATTAAACGAGAAGACGATTTACAACAAATATCCCTCACCTAACATATCCGATTTACTAGGTAAATTAGGCAGATGCCAATACTTCACAACGCTAGACCTTGCCTCTCACCAAATCGAGATGAATGAAATTGATGTTCCCAAAACGGCGTTTAACACCGAAATTTGCCATTATGAATACCTGAGAATGCCATTTGGTCTTAAAAACGCGCCAGCAACATTCCAGAGCGTAATGGACTCAATACTTGGAGGAATAAAAAATGAAAAGTGTTCAGTCTATTTAGATTACATCATAATATTCTCGACGTCATCACACACAACATAAAAGCCGTTTTTCAACGACTTAGAGAGTCCAATTTCAAAACACAACTTGATAAGAGCGAATTCTTACAAAGAGAAGTCGCCTATCTAGGACATGTTACCACAGGCGACGTAACGCCCAACCCAGATAAAATATCTGCGATTAAACAATTTCCCATTCCAAAGACTACCAAACAAATAAAGGAATTTTTAGGACATATTATAGAAAATGTATCAATAACTTTGCTAAAATATCTAAACCGCTCACTAAGTGCCTAAAAAAAGGTGCTAAAATAGAGCACAATGAGGAATTCGTAAATTGCTTCCAATGTGTAAGAATTTATTGATGAAAGAACCGATACTTCAGTATCCGGATTTTAGCAAAGGTTGCCGAGTGTCACTACTCCACCATAGAAAAGAATGCCTACGCCTTGTTTGGGCTACCAAGTATTTGCGTCCGTACCTATACGGTAGAAAATTCAATATTGCTACCGACCATAAACCACTCCAATGTCTTTTCTCTGTCAGAGATCCAACTTCGAAACTTTCACGATGCAGAATAAAATTAGAAGACTTCGATTACCAGATAATTTACAAAAAAGGGAAGCTTAACACCAACGCCGACGCTAAAGAAACAAAATATATTTTTAAATACATGGATGAATTCAATAAAAATCTGCTTATTTTAATCTAATGAAAAATTCTGGTGGTTCAGATAAAATGCTACAACTTTTGTACATACACCTTTCACCTATCACCTGTAATTACGGCTGCAGGTGAGTGTCAAAATATAGTGACTCACCCTGTACATGTAAATTATTACTCAAATTTATATGAATTTTAGGGCTTGCAAGAAATATTGAATCAAACCACAGAGGAAAAAATTGTTTTATTAAATAGGTCAAAACCTAATAATAACCACAGACAAAAACTTGTTAAAATTGTTAATAATGAGCTGTTAGGGACCTGCGCCAATGAGTAAGTTTATAAAATCAATCAATATTTGGACCAATATAACAAGACTTACTTATCAAATTGATTGAATCAAACTAAAGTAAAATACGATTTAATTATTTGTGCTTCGATTTATTTCCTTTTACAGTATCAAGGCAACTAAATTTATAAAGTCTGCTGAAGAAATAGGCTTATTTTTTCCTAATGAAAGAAGTGAAACATATTATGTACCTTATGGAAAAAAAAAATAAGGATAAAGGCATAGCTCCCAAAGGAAAGCTCTGGAGCCGTTACATACACATAACACACGCATTAAAATTGGCTTCTTCCAATGGGAATATGAGCAGCAATTATGATTCTCCCAAAAGTGAGGAAGCAATTTCAGAACAAGAAGAGGCTTTTCTGAATTTTTTAAGAGTAGCGACAGAACCCTTTACGCGAGTTTTGGAAGCATGGGAAGCTACATTCAAACAAAGGAAGAAGATCTATTTAAATGTAAGTTTGGTGAAGCTTTCAAATGATTTCCCTTACCTTAAGCTGAATAACGGCATTGAACTGGTAAGAAATTTTGGATTTTAAAGAATCAAATAGGCATGTACTTACTTTCTTGAAAAAAAAAAAAAAATAGCAGTTCACAAATAGCCAAGTTAGCCACTGGCACAATTAATTATAAATTGAGAAATTCAAAAAAATCTATTGCTTATTTGAGTCATATTAAAAGTATCTAGTGCCCGTATTACATCTGTGTATTTTCCCGTGTATTTATTCATGTCAATCAGGGTGACAACCGAAAAACTTCAAACGCAACACCAATGAATCAGCATTACGAAAAATAAAATAATGTTGGCACCCTGAACTATATGTAATACATATGTAATACAGGCATAATAATTGAATAATCCATAAAAAATATACAATTAATAAAATTACAAATAATAAATAATAAATACATAATATCAAACCACAGTATCCTCTACCAAATCAGGAGTCAGTCTGGCTATGCTTAGGATGAGCGCAACATTACCATGTTGAATGGCGAGGCTGGGTAGCAAAACTAGGCTTTTCTTTTCGCTTTTCTTGACAATATTTTTCGTCCTCGTTTTTGTCTTATCTCAGATATTAATTTTTTGGTTGCACCATCCTAATTTCAATAATAATCATTTATGCACGAACGGGCGTAAAAGTGCACTTTTACGCCCGCATTTTAGAGCGTGAAGTAGTACTTTTACGCCCTAGGGCGCCTTTTATGCCCGCGGGCCTGAAAGTTCTAAAATTTCAAAAATAAGCAAGAATTCGACTCAATTTTTTGAACCTTTTGCATTTCTATTGGTTAGTCCAAAAAATACCAACTTTGTTCAACAAAACAAGCTTTATTTCAATTAATAAGAATAATGGAATAAGCAATAATAATGAAATTCAATCTACTTTGCCTTCAACATTGAGTAACAGTTCCATAGGGTGGATGGCTTTTTTTGATAGCATTTTTCATTAATGTATATGCGACAGTTTCTTCTACAAAGTACTGCTGCTCATTGACACCATGTTGGGCACACCAGGAAATAAAGTCCTTATATGTTTTTTCATAGAGTCTCTTGAACTTTGAAGGTAATAGATCTTCCTTGGCCTCTTCAACTGCCTCAAGAATGAACTTGGGGAGGCTATTTTGCTCCATTTTCAGACGCCAGACTACACATCATAAGAAGACTATACACTTACACTACACACAGTAAAATAGTTATTTGTTTGTATTGTTCTGGGTTGCTATAATAGTTACGTGATACTTTTGTCAACAACTGCTTTCTTGATCTAAATTTGACAAAAACTTATGACCTTTATGCGGTGAAGATGAAAATTTATATTTTGAAATATTTTTGATTGATGTCATTACAAAATTAAAAATATATAATTTTTCATACATCAAAATGAAAACATGCTCATCGTGCATAAAATCTTGTATGCACCTCGGTCAAAAAGAGCTTTAACGCCCTCAGCGTGTAAACAGCCCTCGGCTAACGCCTCAGGCTGTTACACACGCTGCGGGCGTTAAAGCTGTACTTTTTGACCTAGGTGTATAAATAACTATTATTTCTAGATTGAAACCGATTTCAACAGAAAATTCCCAGAAAAAAATAGATGCCATTTATAATACTTGGCCCAAAATACCTGAAGCATTGCGTACAGAGGCTACCGAAAGAAGAGAGGTAGTTCCAGAAGAATGTAGTTAGTTCCATTCATCATGCACCATTCAGCAACATTAGCTCTATTAGTTTAGTATTTATTCCATATAAACAGGGTAGGCTTAACCAATTTTCTCAACTCATCTTTAAAACTAGGTTTTCGAAAAATGACATAAAAGTGATATTTACCTACTTCTTATAATGCATAAACAATGAGAAAAAAAACATTCACAAAATAACTTTTTGAAACTTTTTAACATAGGTACTCGTACTACATCAACATAAGTTTAATAAATTAAAAAATACCTATCAGTGCTTTCATAACGAAAGAAAACGTACGTCATATTGTAGTTTCTTTATTGGTCAGGATTTTTGACATGACATTACCAAATTCAGTGACAAAATTAAAGAAAAATGCAATATTTGATTTACTGTTTTTTGAAGACCCGTTATATTTATATATTTATATATACGTCGTTGAGCGGATAGAAGATTTAATAGGTGGGATGCTGATGAGGTTATAGGGGCTACATTTCAAAATTAGTTAGGCTTATACAGGGTGTCAAAAAACCATGGCACATCATTTTTATTTTATTTTTTTCATATGGAATGTTCTATATTGTTCCACCAAAATTGGAGCCTCATTGGACTGTCTTTTCAGCCCCAAATATTTGTTGCCCTCAAATGCAACGTTGCCAAATTATTAATATTTTAGAGAAATTTTTACCGAAATCATTATAACACTTAAATTTTAATATCTACACCACCATTTTTTATTTTTTTGTAAAAATGTATGGAAGTACTTAGCTGGGATCATTTTATCTCGCAAAAGTCTGAGATTTGGGTTATTTTATACAGGGTGGTCAAAATCGTCATTCAAATATTGATATTTACCATTGTGCTTAACGCTAATTTTTTAAATGGGACACCTTATATCTAGTGAAGTTTTCCGTTAAAGTGTTTATTTATCTTCAATTTGATACCAATATGTGTACCTTTATCTCCAACCGTTTTCTCAAAAATTGATATTAAGCTAAGAATTGCTCATTACAAGCTTTTATTTAACTTCACCTGTATGTATGTATGTATGTAATCAAATATTGCAACTCATTTTTGAAGAACTTCCAAACATCGGATTGACTTCAAATTTCGCATAGCGTCTTAGTTCCGATGACAATACAATAATATGGTTTCATCGGGTACCTACCTCCCCCCTAACGTGGAGGGCGGTGAGGGGGTAAAACTTTAGTTTGTCCGATTTCAACCAAAATTGGTATCTGGGGGTTTTTGAGGATGAGAATTACGAATTTTTGATCAGATTAAAAAAATTCAATATGGCGGATTTAAAATGGACGATTTAATGTCAAGTTTTTCTGATTACTTTCTACTGACTTCCACGTATCCTATTGACTTCAAATTTCGCATACCGTTATAGTTCCGATGACAATCCAATAATGTGGTATCAATGACTGCCTACCTCACCCCTAACTTGGAGGGCGGAGAGGGGGTAAAATTTTAGTTTGTTGGATTTCCACCAAAATTGGTGTCTGGGGGTTTTTGAGGATGAGGATTACGAATTTTTGATCAGATTACAAAAATTCAATATGGCGGATTCAAAATGGACGCCAAATGGCCAAAGTTATGTTGCGGTCCAACATAGATGTAAAAAAAGGTTTAGTGAACGGGGCTATTGAAAACATAACTAAAATTATGTAGCCATGCTTTCGGCGAGCACAGATTTACGACAATGATATACCTTCAGTGGAAATAGACTTTGGTAATGACGGCATTCATATGATTCAGCCGAAATCTGTGCAATTTCCTGCCAAATATAATTATGGCACAGCCGAGCGAAGAATGTTACCTATAGTCTTATGCTGGGCATCTATACTGTTCATAAAATGCAGGGTAGTACTGCTGACTATGCTGTAATTACTTGGGACCTAAGCTTTTTGCTCCTGGTCAAGCTTATGTCGCCTTGAGCCGTATCAAATCGTTGGACGGCCTTCTCATCGAAGACAGATATTTCAAAATTGACAGGAAAGACTCCCTGCAATATCGATGCGCTAGCTGAAATGCATAGACTTATAGTCTAAGAGCCAGTGAACTTTTAGCGTAAAAAATTGCCGATGGACAATTTCTTGCTTAAACGATGTAGTTTTATCCTCCGTGATCAAAAACCATAGTCTTGCAGCATGTAGTGGGGAAGTTTGTCGTAGGCATAATTAATTAGTCATTAAAAAATTCACCAAATTCCAAATACTTGCCGATGGTCAATTTTTGCGGCATATCATTTAAAAATGTGCCATTAACAAGGCTGTTATAATGCCAGACGGTTTTCACGGGTTTAAAGCCTTGCCAGACGCTCCCAAAATGTAAAAAAATAATAAAAAATTCGAAAAACTTGCCGAAACCTGTTTTTTTTTACATTAAAGAGAAAAAAATTGCTAATCGAACAAACTTAGTGCGAGACGGGTTTTTCGAGGATTAATCCTTGCCAGAAGACGTCGAAGTTCGTTATTTTACACGTCCGTGAACGCACATATTATCCCCTCCCCGCGTCTGGGAGCGGATAATATGCCGCGGCCACATGTCGGTGATCCCGTACGAGAGCAAATGAGATGGAAAGACAAGGAATGAGTGGAACAAAAGCGTTTGTATAATAATACATCAATGAATGAACTATACCTACCGGGTGTCCCACCGAAAACTGTCAATGGCCTATATTTTGGAAACGGTAATCGATAAAAAAAAAAAGAAAAACCCGTTTGCAGGGTTGGAAGGGAGAACCAAAACAAGGTACTTTTCAGCTCTCCGCGAACTTTTCGTCCGGCTGTAGCCACCCTAACCTCAAAATCCTGAATGGTACTATAGGTCATGTGATGATTGAAAAGTTGTTAACTCGAAGTATGGGCTATTACCTGACAATTTAAAATTGTATCTAGATAATTTTTTTATGCAGATTCGTTTAGAGAATTAAAAAACCCCTCAAACAAGGTATCACATGACCTATAGTGCCATTTAAGATTTTGAGGTTAGGGTGGCTACCGCCGGATTGGTGGTTCGGAGAGACCTGAAAAGTACCTTGCTTTGGTTCCCCCTTCAAACGGGTTTTTTCTTTATCGATTAGCGTTTTCAAGATATAGGCCATTGACAGCTTTCGGTGGGACGCCTGGTATACTACAATTAATACTACAATTAATTTATTAATGAAATAAAATAATTAAATAGTGAACAATGAATTGACATAAAATAAAATATAAATTATCAATTTATAATTGTATTGAAATGTCAAAAAAAATAATAAGCTAGGTTTTATGTATGATTTTGTGTAATAATGATTTTTTCATTTTAAATACGACCCACCCATCCATACTATAT